AGGAATGAAAATGGATTGTGATTGCACCACTCCACCCCCTTCTGGATCTGCCCCTGCTGGACTCCGCCCCTCCCTTCATGGGGCTGCTGGAGGGAAAAGAAGGAAAAGAAGCAGAAGCCACTTTACAGCATCTTCCTGCTTCTTTTTTGGGCAGAAAAAAATTAGCTTCCCAGCTTACGACAATGTATTCCAGTTCTGGGGAAAGGTGTGCAAGTTAATATGATAGTTTAAATTCTCAGTATATCATGCTTCCTGTGTATATTTTTGTCATTTATTCCCAAAACCACTTTGTCATATGAAGCTTTCAAGCCCCATTGCACAAAGAAAAAGCCAACTCTTTAAATGTCTGTCTGTTTTTCTCCTTTTTTTTTGGTAGGAATTACAATGGTTGACACAGAAATGCCATTTTGGCCGATTAATTTTGGAATTAACTCAGTGGATCTCTCTGCAATGGATGATCACTCCCATTCCTTCGATATAAAGCCATTTACAACCGTTGATTTTTCTAGCATTTCTTCACCACATTATGAAGATATTCCTCTTGCAAGAACTGACCAGACAGTCCTTGATTACAAATATGACATCAAGCTTCAGGAGTGTCAAAGTAAGTAATTTCTTTTTACATCTCAGAATATACCTATTTGAATTGCATAGTGCTTTAAGAAGCATGCCCTCAACAAAAGAGCTCTGTTTCAGACCCTTTGGAATAAGGGCCACATCTTTAGACAAAAATGTTCTTGAAGCTTTATTTAAAAAATAACCAAATCAAATATCTTTCATCTAGGGCTGTGTGAAGCTTCGGGTAGTGATTAAATTTGGAGGAGATTTGGCCCGATTTGGTGGCCGAATCTCTGAATACAAATCAAATCGGGAGCAATTAGATGGTCTGAATTGATTCAAAACTCTCTGAATCTTCGGAAAAGATTCGGAGAGCTTTGATTCTTCGGACAGTCCCTGGTGGCTGTAGCAGGGAGCTGGACCCAGACTCCATTCTGGTAAGTGGGGGGGGTGTGATGGGGGAGGGGACCATGGGGGACCCCTGCCAGCCCGCATCCCCTGCCTGCTCCCCCAGCCCTCCCGCGGGTGCCCCATCTACCCCAGCTCCTGGCATTTTTTTAAAAAGCCCCAGTGCTCATTGGGTGCTGCTGAGCGGGGAATCAATCCTGGCTGCCCCCACTGCCCCACTCTGCATGGAGGCCCATCCCCTGCCCAGCCTAAGCCTCCCAGCACTTTAAAAAAAAAGAAAAAGCCTCGCACTCACTGGCTATAGCAGTGGCAATCAGGGCCTCTAGGAGCTCATGGCAGATCCCCCCATGCAGCATGGGGCAGTGGGGGCAGCAGGGATCACCACCTGCCTGGCAGCACCCACTGAGTCGGGGCTTTTTTTTTAACAAGTGCCAGGAGCTCGGGCGGGCAGGGCAGTGATTGCCCAGCTCGGGGGGATGGGCCTGGCTGATTTGGAGATTCAGCAGCAGCCAAATCTCTGAATCAGATTTGGCTGAATCAAATCAGGACAGTGATTTGAATCACCAAATTGAATCACTGTCCCCTGAATCGGCCAAATCTGAAGAGAATACTAGCCACTTCGCACAGGCCTGCTTTCATCTGATGAGGGCTAGCATTTCCATAGCATGTTACCTAAAAGTGAAAATCTCTTTTGCATCCTAAGCTATTTAATGAAATCGTGGCCTAAATCTTGTCTGTATTAGGGAAGT